ATTATGTACACAATATAGACCCCAAAACAATACTTAGTTATTAAAAAAAACTGTTTGTCTGTATATCTGCTTGTCTGTTTTGGTGTGCGCGTTTCACAAAAAAAGTAATGAACCAATCTTAGCAAAATTTTATGAAGTGATAACTTATTACTCGAGTTAACATTTAGGATACCTTTAACTTCAAAAAATCTTTCTTTCCCACGGAAAAATACAATAACTGGTTCTATCAAGTCGTCATTGAAACGTCAAACCTTCCGCTGACTAAATCTTAAGACATACATCAAAACAATGTACTAGAAAACTGTAGATGTTGAAAAGGTCTACAAAAAAAGTCGGCAATAGTATATAGACATATAAGTTAGGTATACTCGCAACATCTATTTTTATCTATATCTATACATATAATAAAACAGTAACTTAGCGAAATCGATGTGCGCTTCTCACGCAAAAAGTACCTTACTACAGATTATAACAAAATTTTGTAATTTTATTCGATTTTACAAAGAAGATTATGATTTTTTTTGTATTTTTTGTAGTTTGCCAGTAGAATAAAATACTTTTAAGAAATTTGCTGATTAGACTGTTAATAAAAACATCTTCTAACATAAATTCATAGGTAGGGGAAAATAATATCATAAACTAGAATATACATATTATGTATGTATTTTATGTGTGATTTTAGAATTAGTTTTCCATAAGCTTATAATTTTTTATTTGGAAGCTCTGTAGCCAGTTATGAATAGGTATTTCTTGTACTTATAAATAAAATTAAAATTATGCAAAGAAGACTACCTCATTGCACGATGTCAATACCAAATAATCACTAAAAATGGTAGCTGTTCGTCCGCCAGTCTTCTAACTTCCACCGACACAAAGAATTCGGGTGAGAGTGAGAGATCTTTTACAACTCGTTAGTAAAGTTGCGGACGAAGGCTATATTCTAAATAATGAAATCTTGCAAAGATTATTTAACATGGCGTGGTGATGTGTTAAAAACATTTATAAATACACATATTCATTGGGTTTTAATTGATTTTTCTTATTTATTAAAAGCGATGGCAAAGGAACTTGGAGTATCGAGATATGACCCCAACACGGAAGCTTTCCAAGCTCGAGCGCAGTGGAAGAAAGTTGATAACTGTCGGAAACAATGGATTGAGCGTTGGAGCTGGCTATTAGATGAAAGAAAGTGAGCAAATGTATTTGTTAGGAATAATATATAAATAAGTATAACAATAATATGTAGAGCTGTATAATGTAAGTTATAGAATAAAATTATGAAGTTATTCTAATAAAAAAATACATTAAAAAATAAAAAACCCGAGTCCTTCATATGTAGTCGCGTCAATGAATACGTAAAATAGGCAAGCTTCCTAAGTCCCCAAGAACAGCTTTGATCTTGATGTTTTTTTTAATTTCTTTGTATTTTATACTCTTTATAATCAGAAACCTTTTGAAGTGGGGACATAATCTGATACTAATATTATAAAGAAGCACAGTTTGTATGTTTGTTTGTTTGAACGCGCTAATCTCTGGAACTACTAATCCTACTAGAAACTAGACTAAATAGATAACTAAAAAAGGTGAAAACTAGTGAATGAAACACATGTCTGCGACTGCATAATTCTACTACTTACTAGTATAGTATTATATGATCTGTGATAATACTGTATTCCTTCGTCAACTTGTTTTCATCATTTTAGTTAGCTTCTATGCAGTCGGGATTTTTATTTTTATAATATATTTTATTATATTTAATTAATTATAATATATTATTAAATATATAATATATTTTTATAATAAATTTCTTAATTTAGGAAAATTACTTTTAAATGTATAAGTGGTATTTATTCTCTTAAAAAGGTGTATTTTGATAGCCCACTAGGTTGATTCGCCGCAGTCAGGTAAAAATATAGGTATAATAAATATTATTTTAACGGCCGAGTCTAAAAGAAGTTTTTGAATTTCTAACTGTTCGACGTCAATTCGCACGTCAATTTAATCGTCAACGCAATGAAGGCTAGCTAGTTAGCTTAGCTAGCTTTCAAATAGGTCCTCTTTCTTACACTACAATTTTTATTTCAGTCTGCTGAGTAGATTCGCACGTAAAATGGTTTTTAAGTCACCGATCTATGTACTCACACATTGTACCTAATGCGACGGCCATTTTTAGTGGTAGCCAATTGAAATTTACTCGCGGGCTGAGTTAGTTAATTTAAAAATTAGATGCCGCAGAATTCATGATAACGAATGGATTGTTAGTCATAATCGTAATTTTGTACTATAGAATTCAATAGAAGATATACAAATGATGAAAACGTTTCTAACCAGATTGCTGTTTATATAATTTCATATTAGACAAGACGTTACTATATACCTATTAAAGAGCATATAGATATAGTAAATTAAATGTTTACCTATAATGTCCAATCAAAAACGATTTACCCTTCTCACAAAAAAAAATATATAATTGATATTTTACGGTATCATACCAATGTAGAAAAACTAATCCTATTTAAAACAAATACCTAGTAAATACATTATATCCCACGAATAAGTCTTCTTTGCTGTAGACTAGATTAAAGTTTATTGCAGTCGTGCTAGCGATACAGACACTGCATCAAAGTAGAATTCGCTACGGAAATTAAAATCACCTCAAGCAGTTTCAAGCGAAACCAATGTCAAATATTATGATAGTTTCTAGCCCACGCAGTCGAGTATGACTAATAAAATTGTCATAAAAATGTTAAAGAATCCATTTACAAAGTACGATTTAATTTCAATATAAATATTAGATTTTTCGTTTAAACGAGAATTTTACTTATTAGTTTATAAATAGTATAATTTTCTATTTAATAAAATATTTTTATAATAGACAAGCGCAGAACGAAGCAAATGCCGTTCGTCAGGAGATTGCTGCTGCTTTGCCACATGTCATGGGTAAATCGGAATCCACGAAGTCATTGAAGCCAGTACCCATTACATCGTCGGGCATTATCGGATGGCTAGGAGCCAAGTAAATCATTTTTATCCATAGACTATAATATATGTACATTGTACATATATATTACTATAGGTATACCTAACGTATGTAGATAAAGAATTCCTTCTGTCATTACAAGAGAAAATTTAACGATTTAATCTAAATTAAAATTATAATAATATTTATGTATAATTCTACCTATAATATCTATTTTAGGCACAGTCGTCTCCTCTAAGTCCGCCCGCGTAATGGGCGACCGCGACCACGACCAAGGCCGCCAACAACCTACTATTTACGCTATGTTACAGTCTACAGATATTCTGCGATCATCATAATATAAATAGTTGGTCACTGCAGCAGTAGCGTAGTCCGTTGTATGTGGACTCTAAATGTGAAGCATTGCTCTTGAGTATTAAAAACTAATTGTTGAAATATTTTCATTCCCAGGCCGGATTGTCAACTAGAAATATACACATCTTGGATTGCGAAGATTCCATTGCGACTTTCAGACGCGTGGAATAACAAGGATTATCTGGGATAAATTCAGGATGCATGACAAAACTTGCACTTGTGGTATCGATTGCGCTCAGCAACATGTTCAAATATTATTTGGATCTATGATTTTAATTAAAAAGGACAGCTACATAAAGTCAAACATTTTGAAGCGTCTAGGATAACAACAGAATATTAAATTAATTTCCGCTTCCACCAACTAAAACAAGAACAATTATAAGGACTGGGCTAAGAGAACCAAAACTCGGATATACTTATATAAAATGTCCGAAATAGGCGTGGATTGCGCAAGCTAAGACCACACGTTTTAGGCCGTATTTACCTTCCTCTGGAAAAAATATAAATATTGGTCCTACAGCTCCGGAAGCTTATACTTTTTGTTAGGAAGTATCCTTCTCTTTATGAATCTTTTTTAGATTTGAAAAACCTCAATTAGTTTTTGAGATATTTACAAAAAACTACGGCCCCTTTTCTATTTTTAGTTAATTGTTTATAACTTTTGCAATTTTTGCAAGCGAAACTTGTTTTTTCTTTCAAAAATCATCTACGAGCTATTCCAAATTGAACGACAACCTCGTTAATAGTTTTCCGAGACTGCTGATAAAAATTGACCTGAAAGGCACTTGCTGCCTTTAGATCACGCATGATTATATCTGTTACGAACTGTCAATTATTTTCCGAGCGAACTAGCGTTGTAGAGCTGCTAATCGATATACGTATTTCAATAATAGCTTTATTTGCTTTTTAAATAGATGTGCTTTATAAATGTCATGGACTTTTAATGTATTATGTTTATATCAATCATTACATACATAAATGCTTATTTCATTAATCGAATATATATATAAAAAAATGTAATTTTCTACAGATAGCTTTACCTTTACTGAATGATTTGAATAACAAGATTAAAGTGTTCTGATAAAATAATAATTACATTCGAACTATAATAAAATACTACTAGTACCAATTCAATTTTGAAGAATTTTCTCATCGTCATTAGAAAGATGAAACACTTGATCGTAGATAGAGATGAATGGAGCTCGTCAAGTAGTTTTATTAGTAAAAAAATATTAAATTCTAACAAACAAGATTAAATTGCTATCTTTATCTTAACAAACTATCGTATCTGTAACAAGACGTAACAACTAATGACGTTTACAATTTGCAAACACTGATGTTTATTGTGTCTGACAACGGTACCACAATAATGATTCTAGTTTGATATTGCTATTCTTGAGGTAGAATTGCTGCCAAGATCAATATCTTTTTTTTGATTCGACCACCATCGAATAAAATGTAGAGATTTAACATAAGTTCCTTTATAGTTTTAACAAAAAGATAAACTGGACCGTTTTGGTACTAAGCTAGCTTGACCGTTTGATAAAAGCGCTATTTGTATACCTCATAATTTAAATAATGTAAATGCAAATTAAGTTTTTTCCCAAATTTTTAAATTAAATTTAATTTAATATTTTTATTAATGAAACTAAAAAAAAATGCTAACCTTTTTAGTGAAGTGTGTTTACTGCCGTTACTGAGCAGCTTATGCTTTGGTTTGTCATGCGCTCCAGTTGGCGTAGAAGAAGATATAGTTAAATCGCTCGCAAATGAACTTGTCGACGAGTCCTTCGAAATATTTGTCCTTGTTCTTCTGGCCGCGGATTCGGGACTTCCAGGGGTCGCAACCAGTTCCAAAGCCAAGCGGCCTTTCCCTGGGACCGGAGGCGGCTTCTCATCAACAGGCATCATATAGGACAGCATGGCTGTCCTATTATTGTCCTTTACAACATTAAACACAACACCGCCAATTCACACTAACACGCTCTTGAAGTAAATTGTTCACATTTTCTGCTTACTTAATGTCTCTACTTATACGCATGAGTTCGTTTTGTTATTTTCGCAGCCTAGTTAACCTGAAACAAAAATAATAAATAAGGTAAAGATTAAATATCATTCCACCTTCTTCAAAATATACCTAACCTTCTTATAAAAACATTAAATCGTATAATTTAAATTTGTATAAAAAACTAGCAGAACCCGCGACTTCCCGACCCGCATTCAATCTACAAAAAAAATCTTGCTTTATATAGCGACTCACCCTCGCTCGTCTTCCTCCATATCTAATATATTTAAAGGAGCATTTCTTGTATATATATATATATGGAAGGTATATATGTAGGTTACTATGGAATATTATATATATATATATATATATATATATATATATATATATATATATATAACGATTTTCATGAAATTTAGTGTACGGAGGGTTTCGGGGGCGATAAATCGATCTAGATTATTATTGTCAACTAAGATTATTATATTAGTTTAAAAAAAAAGAAAATACTACTTTTAACCAAAAACTCCAAGCGAAATGCGGTGGCCCAGGTACTAATATTAAATCGCGAACCAGAAGGTTGAAAAATACTTTACGACCGATTCTCATACCTACCAAATATTGAAAAAAAAACCATTAAAACCAGTCGAGCCGTTTCGTACTGCGACTATAAATACCGTTATACGATATATTTATATGTATATTAGAGAAGAGGAAGACTTACTGCGCCGACCCCAAGTGACTTGGGAAATGGGCAGGAAGAAGAAGAGAAATATTAACTGCTTTATTTAAGCATCATTGTAATAACATGTTTTTATATAATAAAAACTAAATAAGCAAACATAAGCTAAATTTAGTTTAGAGTTGAAGGTCTTTCAGATTTACTAATAAATGTCGGTATTCAAGGACTAACTCGACTTAATTACTATCTAAAGGTCACTTGAAGCAATTCCTTAATAAATAGCTTATACGTAATAAATGATTCGGCGGAAAAGCTGCTTCTGGAAAACACAAATTTGAGTTTTTTTTTCTGTTGGCTTATAGTTGCGTTAAATCATACTAGATTCATGATTGTTTCAATTTTGCTACTTGGCTAAGTCAGTATGAGAGTTACCTAGTAAGGACTTGATCTAATTAAGTAATACAAACTCAATTGCTACTAAAGACACATTTAAATGAACGATTTTGATTAAATTATATAGTTTATCTACATTTTTATAATATATATACATTATACATACTCGTATATTGATCTTTTTTTAGAATTTTGAGACCAAAGGACGATTATTACTTAGAGATTATCACAATAATGGACCACTTTATTAAGGCCCCTCAATTTGAACAAATGTATATTGAATGTGTTTTTGAATTGTAATTTAAATAACATTGCAAAAATACAAATTAATAGTTTAGTCTAGTGCTTACATAATATTTTTCCATCTCTGACAGATTTAATTTAACTTATTTAAAAATGAAACACTTCACCTTTGCCAATTGAGCCAAAATAAAAATAATTATTGAGGTAAAAAAAATAGAAGCTGGTCAGTTTACAAAATAATCTTATCATTTTATACTTCTGTAAATGTTATAATTTATGTCGTATGCGTGTAATATCAATATTAAAATATACACCAATAAACCCTTACTTCGCTCAATTGCTTTCCTAAGTAATATTTTAGTAGATTAATATCCAATGGAGACTAGTTCATATGGAGGGAGAGAAATAACCTGGGTCATTTTCCAACCCATGAGTTTATAGGTATTTCAGTGCAAAAAAACATGTTTTGTGCCATTGCTGCGCCAAAGACTAACTAACTGATTGTCTGATTTTCACGTTTATAACATCTTTTAACAAAAATATAATTTCAATGTATCTACATTGAAATTATATTTTTGTGTTATGATATCTATCATATATAAAAAAATATTTTTCTCGTAGGTTCTACATAATAGTCTAGTCAACAAGTGCCTTTCAGGTTTAACTTTTTTTAGCAGTCTCGGAAAAATATGAACGAGATGTCATTCAATTCGGAATCACATGTAGATGATTTTTGAAAAAAATTAAGTTCCGCTTGCAAAAATTGCCAAAGTTATAAACAATTAACTAAAAATAAAAAAGAGGGTTTAGTTTTTTGCAAATATCTTAAAGAAAATTATCTTAATCAAAATATTTTTAAAACTAGCGGCTAACCCTCGCTTCACTCGGGTTCGCCTCTAGAAAAGCACATACACATCTATCCCACGGGAACCGTTCATCTTTCCATCTGCATGCCAAATTTTACTAAATAAAGTAAGTTGTTGTGTACTAAGCTGTATAAGTTACTATAGTTTTCTAACTTTCCCACGGGAACTTTTTAATTTTCCGGAATGAAAAGTATCTTAGATGTTGACCGGGGATATAAGGTACCACCATGCAAAATTTCATATAAATTTGTCCAATGGTTTCGGAGATTAGCCAGTACAAACAGACAGAGAAACAAAAAATCGAAAAATTTGGATTTGTTCTATTTACATCCCGTAAGAAGAAAACTGATTCAGTTTTTAGCATTTTTTTTCTATCTACAGACATTCGATCACTACAGTGTTATTATAGTATAGATATGTATACATAGATAGAATAAATGACGTATAATAAAACAGTTATATATAATAATGAAAATAATTATAGCGATTGTACCTTGGGAGATAGACATATACTATTGAGAACTTTTCTATAGACCTTTTTTTTAAGATTTACAATTTTCTTGTACAATGTTTTGATCTATCTCTTAAGGGTAGCCAGCGTTAGCTACATAAATTTCTAAGGACGATTCGATAGGATCAGTATTTGTTGTTGAACTGTGGTAATTAGTAATTTGCCTGTCGTAAAAGGTATCCTAAATCTTGATCCGAGCACTAATTTATCACTATACATAAAAAGTTTTTAATAAAAAAATAAAAACCGACTTCAAAAAAGCACTCAAAAGTAAAAAATAACTGATTGGTAGTTTTCACTTACTATACATACCTAATCAAATATTTTCAAAGTAGGTGTGCTCTGCTTTGTATCGGCTGACTTGCATGCGCGCGCACACACACACACACACACACACACACGCACGCACGCCCTTACGCACACACACACACATACAAATACACACGCACACACACACACACTCACACACACACACACACACACACACACACACTCACACACACACACACACTCACGCACACTTTTTTAAGTTTTTGCTACTTTTTATAAGTTTTTGTTAATATAAGAAAGACTATTGAGCTGTAAACATTTTTAGACATTTTCTACGGAAGAGTGGGACATCCTGGCACAGGTATGTATATACTTACTTAAAAGAATGTCTCAACAACGGACTTCATGTATTTGAAAAACTCTTTTTTTAATAAATCATTTTCATTTTTCATTTTTTTTCAACTAAAATTCGCTTTTATTAGTAACAGTTTAAAATTCTGGCTCTAAAATCCGATTCTAAAGTATTAGGCTTGTCAAATCGTTGAAGAGTTCCACCTATCCACCTTCTGGCCTTACCATCAGATCAGGTCAACGGAAATAGAAACACTTGCAAAGTTCCAAGTCAAGATGACAATTAGAAGTAGGTTAAATCATCAATTCATATCAACAACAATCATCATTAGCTATTTTTCCACCCTTAGGGGTGATATTTTTTTTGAAATTTAAACGGAACCAATCTGGAAGTAGACACTTTCAAACAAAATAAAAATTTGTCCACATCGGTTAATAAATGACGGAGTTCTGAGGTAGCAAACATAAAAAAAACATACAGCCGAATTGAGAACCTCCTTCTTTTTGAGGAAGTCGGTTGAAAATTTAGTTAAAATCGGTTCAGTACTTCTTGCGTGAAACGCGCACATCGATTTGACTAAGTTAGTTTTATTATATGTATAGATAAGAATAGATATTGCTTAGAAGATAGATATATACTACTCAGAACTTTTCTGTAGGACTTTTCAAGACCTTTACAATTCTTTAGTATATTCTTTTGATGTATGTATGTCTTTAGGTTTAGCCAGCGAAGAAAGATTTTCTTGAAGTAAAAGGTATCCTAAATGTTGACTCGAGGAATAAGTTATCACTTCACCAAAGGTTGAAATCGGTTCATTACTTTTCGTGTGAAACACGCACACAAAAACAGACAAACAGACATACAGGCAAACAGACAAACAGACAAAATTTTTAATAACTATTGTTTTGGGGTCCATGTTGTGTACCTACATAATACGTTACAAATAAAAAACACAAAACATCTATCCCACGGGAACCGTACATTTTTCCGGGTTAAAAAGTAACCTCTTTGTTATTCTGATGTCTGAATTACACTGTATATTATTGTAAAGTTTCATCAAAATCCAATCAGTAGCTTTTGTGTACTAAGCTGTATAAGTTACTATAGTTTTTGACTATCCCACGGGAACTCTTTAATGTTCCGGGATAAAAAGTATCTAAGACGTTGCCTGGGGATATAAGGTACCACCATGCAAAGTTTCATTTAAATCGGTCCAATAGATTCGGAGATTAGCCCGTACAAACAGATAAACAAACAGACAGAGAAACAAAAAAATTGAAAAAAATCTAGATTTGTTCTATTTGTCTTCTTACATCCCTCTGACTCGGTTTTTAGCATTTTTTTTTCTATGTACAGACATTCGACCTCTACAGTTTTATTATAGTATAGATATTTTCAACCGCTGCCCTAGACGCAGGCCCTTATATAGAAGACTTATACTATGGCGGAGGTACTAAACAGAGTGCAAGGTATCCTCTTCTTATCTCTTATGTAAATCTGCAGGCTTGAGTAAATTCTAAAATCACCTCTTGGGCTTCCCTACTATTACCTCAAGCTTCTAACACCTCTGTTAGTAACGCAGAAATCACGCAAGCCAATATTAT